ATGCTATGCTAGATTGTAATACCAGGTGTGTGACATGAAAAGGCTATGAAGAAAAGCTTTCCTTCTGGCTTCGTATGATGTAGACCTCTGGTCAGCATTACAGCATCCAGTTTTGCATGCAGTGCATTAGAGAGGTATGCAGATATGGGCGGAAATCCAGAGAAAAGCAACAAAAAATGATTAGAGAGATGACCTCTAATATGTATCAAGAAACGCAAAAGGAAATGAAGCTTGTAACTCTTTGAATTTGAAGTACAATCTTACTAGTCATCTGCCAGTTTTGTTCAGCTTTGCTCAGCTTCTCTGTTTAAGTGATTCCATAGTTATCTGGAAGATTAAAATGTTTTATTTCCATGTGGCCCATGTTATGCGGACAACTGGGTTAGGAAGAAAGTTCAATAATATTCTAAGGTTCCTGATACAGGCCATGAGCAAAATAAACATCACAATTTTAAATCTCAATGCTGTCTGTGGATTGTTTAATCTACCAATCCATACCACCTCTCTTTATGATGATGCCCTGACAGACTATAGCAATGAAAGGTGGGAAAATCCTCGGCAAATTTCTTTTGGGGTCAGAAATAAAGCAAGGTAAAGAAGAATGTCATGCCTCACTGCTAAGGCCCATATAAACATCATCCTCTTGAATCCCCCTGGAATGATGTTACAGGATACAGTCCATCTGATAAACTTTCAGCAGATGGCTGGATCCTTCATTGTACCCATTACCCCCAACATCAATTCCAGGCAGGCACAGTAATCAGCACTCCAGACAACAGATGGGAAATGAGGAGGTGTGTCTGGTCTGAAGTCAAGGGAGAAAAATAGAAAGCTTAGTTCTCAATTACACCAGGTTTTCTCTAAAGCAAATTCATCACATAGTAACTAGAATTCATCACTATGTATTCAGTGAATTACAAAAGGTGTCACCAGTAGCTCAGGAGTTTTTGAGGATGTACCATTTTACCCTTTTAACAAGGACAGAATAAGCCATTGAACTTAAATCAGGTAAGCTGTATTTAGTGAGCATCAAATTTCTCATATATTATAAAGGCAGAAAGTCAAATAGCAATGGCAATTCTAAAAAGGAATGGGGCTCAGTATTACTTTCAAAAAATCAGTGGCTTTTAGTTAAATGGTTAACAGCATAAATTATTATTTGTCAAATGTTCAGCCTGAATGCAGACTGCTTTATGTACATAGACATTGAAGGTTACATGGTATATACTGTAACTACTAAGTTCATGTTTATCCAGATGTTGGTACACATACACACAGAATCTATAGGAAATGGACAATTAAACAAGACATCCAACATATGATATATGCATTGAATTCCTAAGACACTGCATAACTGGATTCACAGAAAATAAAGAGCTACTAAGATCATCCAACTTTACAAACATGATCAGCCAAACTAGCATTTTAACCTTTCTGCTAAGAAAGTACAGATTCTGAAGACTTTAATAGCTATGAGAATATCTTCCTTCTAAGCCCCGATTCCACCATTGCAGCTCACATATAAAATCCACTTCTGCCAATGACATGCTGGAAGATTTTTAGTAAACAGCACAATCACACAGTAAGTATATTCCTGTCACCTATACCTGCCAAAATCACAGAGAAAAGAGAATTGACTGTCTATACTTGAAGAAATACTTACTAGTATAACTGATAGACACTACTGATATTTAGCAAGGGGTTGAACAGTGGTGTGCTAACCTTGGTCCCTGCTAATCTTTAGAACCCCAAAACATTTCAAAATGGTCAGAGCTGAGCTGTGAGATAGTGGTACTTCAGTCTTACTGTCTACTGCATTTGTACCAGACTACAGTGCCAGGAAATCTGAGAAATCAGGTAAGACCCAAATGAAACTCAACAGCAGGAATAGTAATCAAGAACAGAGTAATTCAGGCACTGCCCTTCCTTATGCTACTAGAGCTGGCAGTCACCCAAAAGCAGCACTGCTATGATAAAGGGTAACAAGGCATTTAGAATGAATATTCCACAGACTGAAGAATGGGAAATGGGGGAAGTAACCCGTCCCCCCCACCACACTTCTCTACTTCCTGGCCTAAAGCAATATTGTGCTTGTTATAAACTTATATCGACTCTGAGGAAGAAGGCATTTCTGCAAAGCCAAAATTCAATCATCCAGTTAGGGGAGACATATCAGAAATATCTCTTGCTAAGATAGCCCTTGCATTTCAACTAACATCTCCCTTTCTTTGTCAGGACTTCTAAACTCCTCCAATTGTTCTGCTATAATATAACCTAATTCAGATAATTTACTTGCCAAAGCATTTTTTATACCAGTGTCTCTTCTTTGGAAATAGGTAGTTACAGGAAACAGTTTAACATTTCTTTATGTAGACCTAAACTGATCTACCATAATTCTAAACAAGATAATGCATGATAGTCCCTTATAAATAATAAAGTGATAGGTAAATGTAAGGTATTACTAACCTTACGTGCTTTCATTAGTCATTGCTGTAACCAAGTTAGAAAATTATTTCTAACCATATTCTGATATTTTTTTAAGGACTCACATTAGCTTTTATAAAAATCCATGCAACCCTGGTTCTGGCAAACAGCCACACAGGAAGTGTGAAAAGTTGGATTCATCAAAGGCTATGTCCACTAGGAGGCCAGAAGTTAATACTTACATAATACAAAGCAGTGACTTTCGGGTAAATAGCAAAGGAGTATAAAATTATGGTTGGACTCAAGAAATTGTCCAGCATGCCTCTGTTCTCTGCTCCCATCCTATAGACTCAGAGTTTAAGTGAAAGACACTAGAAAGACCACAGGTGACAGGATGCAGACCACAGTCCCCAAACACCCATGTTTTCCTCAGGTGCCATCATTCTCTATATGTGTCCCCAAAGGTGATCTATTTGAGTTTATAAAGGAAGGCACATGGAGGAAAAGAACAGAGATTGGTTATACTGACATCAACAGAGAAGAAACTAGTTTCCTTTATTTGCACAAGGAGGTCAAAAGCTTTTCTAAACAGCTCTGTGTTGCACCCCCTTCTACTACTTATGGACAGAAGAATCATAGAACATAGGAGTGTAACTCTGTATCTTTCTACAGATAAGCAAACTGAGGCCCAGGAAAAGTACTTTCCCAAAAGTCATATATCTAACAAATGTCAAAACTAGGTCTCCTGAATCTTCTAAAAGCCTCTAAATATCTTTCCTCTAAACTCCCTGGTGCTGCCAGGTTTGATGTCATCATAGGAGCAGCAGGCCCAGTGAGGTTGAATTTAGTCCTTTGTTGATCTCCTAGATATGTGGCTGCCAGACCTGAAGAAGAGTCTTTGTAGAAGTGGCACCCTCTGACCCTCAACACCTGCCATCCTAAAAAAGCACTCCTGTCCTGACAGCCTCACACAGCAGTGGCTGAGATGTGTTGTTTCCTCTCATTAACAAAAAGCCCATTCATAAAAAGAAAGAAAGAGGTCTAGCTCAAATTTACACAGGTCTAGCTGGGACAACCCTGAACTTCCTATAAATGGCATCACTTCCCAAATAGTCCTCCCTAAAAAAACTGCTGCATTCCATGTTTCAGCTACCTTCTCAATAACAGTCTCCTAATTCCAAAGCTAACCACACCACTTTGCCACATCTGCAAGACAGGAGTGGGCCACAGGTCACTCACCACATTTTTCAGATCGGGAAAGAGATCAGAAATGTACAATCAAATGAGTTCCTTAGAACACAGCACTAGTAAGTATCTAAGCATCATGCTCCTCTGCTTGGGTCTTCACACGGGTCAGCCCCACCACTCACTGCCACCCTCACTTTGGGATTGACAGCTTGAAACTCCAAAAAAGCATTAGTTTGTTTTCTGCTTCAGATGCTAATTCATCTTTTGGCTGCAAGCAAGTGACCTTCTATCTCCAAGCACTGCCATGGCTATAAAATGGAAAATAATAATCTCAACCTCCTGCCCCATACAGGGTCTTAACAATAACCATCTACAAATATAAAAGCAATAAAGATGTTAAATGATAGGTTTTAAAACTATCCCAAAAAACATACCAGGCTTTCCACAACCTGAAATCTAAATGGCTGCTTTCCCTTTCTCCCCTTCCTCTTCTTCCTCCATGATCTTATAGTTTTAGAAGGACTCTGCACACGCTGAGTACAGAGAGTCATTCTCATCCATGATCCTCACTCAGATTATTTTTATGTATCTGGCAAGTTTCCTATTCAATCCCATTTGTTTTCCTTAGCATCCGTAATGGGTAGAAATCAAGGAGGTAAAAAAAAGTCAGCTCTCTTAGTACCTGTGGACCATGATCACAGGAGACAGAATGAGTTATAAGATGCAAAAAGTAAATAATCTATCACCACAGATTGAGATCACACATCCAAAGTTCATTAGTCTGTCTGAGGCCTGATTTAGACAGCACTTAGTAGGACATTATGGCTGTTGCAAGGACTCAGAACTCAAAGACATACCTCTTCCCCAGAGCATAAATTCTCAAATGACAGTCATTAAGAGAAACCCATAAAAGTACTTCCTCAAAGTACTACAGTGGAGACAAGGAATCTTATGTGACTATCTCCAGGAAAGAGTGTCATTAGGCCACAGAGAAATTACTGCAAAAGGCAAGAGGGTTGGGCCACGGACCACAGATATGATTCAGAAAGGGTACCTGGCTGGGGCTGCACTTCCTGCTTTTGAAAGGCCAGTCCAGGGCAGGGCAGGATGGGGGCGGGAGGGAGGGTGGCTGACCTGAGTACCAGGCATTTCTAGGGTTTGGGCACAAGGTTCCTGGCCTCCACTGTAGGGCTGATGCATCAGAAAAAGTGAAAAAAAAAAAAAAAAACCTCAAATTTGAAATTGGCACAAATACAGCCACACATTGGAAAATTATTTTTAAGGATCTCCCTTCCCCTAAGGATGGGATGGCTTTAAACGGCTGGTGTCCTTATCTCACTAATGACTCTTAACACTTAGGCTGCCCAGGAAAAAGTCAACAGACTCACATGCATCATGGTGACCAGGTGACAAGGGTTGAGCAGGTAGATGACGGTCCTGGTGGCGAACTTAAAGCCCACCTCTACCCCGAAGGTCAGGCACAGGGCTACTAAGAGCAGATTCTTGCTCAGGCTCTCCTTGCCTTCCTCTGGCTGCCGGGTCACCTGCTTTGGGTGGCTGCCATGGCCACCCCTACCATCCTCCGTCCGCCTCAGGATGAACCGCAGGGCCACCAGGATCTCCAACAGGGCCAGGGTCAGCACCACCACACTTTCCAGCAGCCGCTGCTGCCAAGAGAGGAAGGCAGCACATTCCGGGCCCCCATTGCCTGCAAAACTGGGGTCCACGCCCCCATAGAGCCAGTCCAGGAGAGTTTGGAAGCTGTACCGGGACATGATATAGTGGTTCCTCTTGACCACTGTGCAGGAAGCAAAAGCAAGGTGGAACAGGACCCCAGAAGGTTGCCTGGGAGGTGGAACATGCAAGAAGGGAACACTCTCACACCCCCTCCAGACACTGGGGCACCTATAATGGGGACAGGAAGCTACACGCGAGGCCCGGGGAAAAGTGCTGGCTCTAACTTATCCCCAGGGCTGCCTGAGGAGCCCCCCGCGCTTCTCCAGTGGCCACCAACGAGGCAGGGTTGAAAGGAGCCGTTGGCCAATCTAAAAGGAAGGAGAGGAAAAAAAAAAGGTCTCAAAGAGGCAATTGCATCGGGAATTAACGAAGCGGGGAAGGGTAACTAGCAAGGGAAGAAAAGGGGAACAGGGGGAGCGGCAAAGCAAGCAGGAGGCCAAGAGGGTCAGAGCAGGGGCCAAGGGAACCCGGCAATGCCGCGGAAGCGAACCCGGGGTACAAAGAGGGTGAGAGCCGGGCCGGGAAGGCGGGGAGGGCGACGGGGATGGCAGGGACGCCGGACTCCTCGTCTCACGCACTCCACAGGGGGATCTCTTACTGGTGCAACCGCGTGGCCGTCTCTGCCCCAGCTAGCAACTTCGCCACCAAGGTCTCCTCCAGCCAATTTAGAGCCGTCGAGGTCCAGCCTCCCGCCCCCGGGTACACCCCGGAGCCCCCCAGCTCCACCCCCAGCCCCAGAAGCCCGCCCTCCCTCCCAGCAGCGCCACCTTTAGCCCGCGACCAGCCCGGGACCGGCCCCCCTCGCGCGGGCAGCGGCGGGAGGAAGCCGAGAAGGGCGGGAGGCCGGGCCAGTCAGGGGCTGGGCTACAGTCGGCCCCCTCCCTCCGCCCCCGGCGCCGCCACATCTTCCCGCGTCTCCCGCCAGGCCCCGCGGACACGTCGCCGCGCCCTTCGGGGCTCCACTCACCTGAGGCTCGGCTCGCGGCCCGGCTCGGGCGAACGCTGCGCCCCCGCACTCCCCACGCCCAGCGCTTCACTGCCTTGGCGGCAGCAGCTACTAGTGCTGCCGAGGCCACAGCGCGGAGCTCCTCCTTCCCCTGCAGCAGCCGCACTTGCTTCCTCCTTCTTCCCTCTCTCTCCCCTCCCCTCGCCTCCGCCACCGCCTCCCTGGTGCTTCGTCCCTCCTCCTGTCCAGTTCAGCTTCTCGGTGTCCTCCCCACCCCCCCGGCAACCGTGTCCTCGGCCACCACTACCCTGCCCTGACTCCTTTCCTCTTTGGCCTCCCGCACCACCACCACCACCCTCCCCGCGTCCACCATTCACACCTCCCACGGTGCCTCATCTGGGTTCTCCGCCTCTCTCCTGTGGCTCAGTCTCCGCCCGCTTCCTCCTTCTCCCGGCCTGCCTAGTCTTCTGCACTCGTGGAGCCTCCACGCGTGCACATCAGCTCTCTTTCACGACCGTGTACAGAATTCGCCTCGTCGCTGAAGCCTTGCTTCCCGACTCCGCCTCCTGCGACTCGGTGTTCCGGGGCACTTGGGATAGGGAGCCTATAGCCGGCCCTCACTAATTTCTTGTGGAATGTATAAAACTGTCTAATGATGAACAGCTGGGCCAGCTGGGCTTTAGTGTTACGCTGAGTATAGCCTCTTCCCTTCTCTCCCTTCTGCTGAGAGACATAGATTCTTTAAGCATCCTGAGAAGGTTTCTCCCACTTTCTGGCCAAAACCCTATGCCACACTTCTTTGCCCAGGACTGAGACTTCTTCACCCCAGCACCTCTCTTTCTAGTTCCCCTGTGGTGTTTTTAATTCTACCTCAGACCACCCCACACACACTCCCGCTCCCCACTCTCCAGACTGCCTTCCCAGGGAGACCAGCAGGAGCGTCCCTTGACTTCTTTCCCTCCTCTCTCCCTGCAAAAGAGCAGCAGCTTCCTAAACTACTGGATAGGAAGCCCGGCCTAGACACCCTAAATGCAAAGGGGCAGAGTCTGCTCTGCACTACTGCTTTCTACCCATTGCCTATATGCACTTTTCCGAGGACCAGAGAATAGGAAAAGGACCTCTTAAGATCTCCTTCATATTGACTTAGTATTTACCAAAGACTCCCAAAGAGTTAAAAGAATATCAAAAAAAAACAAAAACAAAAACAAAAAAAAAAACAGGCGCCTTGCCTAAGAAGGACTTTAGGATGTTGGCGACAAGCCAGACTCAAACATAAAAAGACTATAAAAGACTACTGATAATACAATTGTCTGGTATAGCCAGGTAGTCTGCCTCATCTAAGACTTGTACTGCATAGTCCATAGGCATGATGCTTTTCGAGTGGTAATTAATATTAATAAAACAAAATTATTGACTCATCAGCTCACTCTCATTCTCCATAGGTGGTGTGTTAAATCCTCAGCAATATAATCAAGGAACATTTAGGACAAAGGAGAAAGCTCCTGACAAGGTCATGCAACATCCAGAGACCTCAGGTTCCTGCCTTCAAAAAAATAAGAACAAGGGTATGGTGCTCAGTAAATGGCTTTTTAATCCCTCCAATTTTCACACTAAACTTCAGTTCAAAATTTGGCCTACCTGCTCCTGTGTTTGAAAAATGGCTGTCTTTAATAACTAATCAAGTCAATTTTCTCACCTAAGTTACAAATTCTTTCTTTTCTAGATAAAATACCAACATAGTTTTAGGATCTGATTTGAATCCCAATAATGGTGATTACTTGAAATGTCACCTTGGGCAATTGACCCAACCTCTCTGGTCCTCAATTTCCGGTGTATTAATTGAAAGATACCCACGGGGCTACCAAAAAAAAATACTATCATCTAGGGTTATACACATTTAAATGACTTGAATTGTTTAGAATGTTGTTCAGTAACTAATAGAAAGTACACATTGAGGGCCAGGGTTTAACCTCAGTGGCACAAGTGCCTTCCTGGCAAGTGCAAGGTCATGAGTTTGATCTCCAGTACGCCCCAAAAAAGAAAGTACATACTGGTACTTGTTGTAACCCATTTGTGCATTTGCATGTGTTTCCCAAGGACACATAAACACTCAAATTCATTGTACTCCCCCACATCTGCATAAACAACTCGACCCATCCTTCAGAGCCCACAGGAAATTGAATTATCCCCAGGCTCACTCTTCTCAGCTTCTACAGCTCTCTCCCTCATCTGAGATTCTACAGCATTTATTTCCTGCACTACTCATTTTATTCTGAATCACATACTGCCTTCTATTGTTCTCTCTTTGTAAGCCCTGCCTCTGAGAGTCTTAATATTGATGGCCATAGCACCTGGCCATAGCACCTACTGGAATGGCAAACACATAGTAGCACTAAATGAACACTAAGAGGTCTTTGTCCATATAGATACAAGGTAAGAATTTAGCTGAAATGGTGTGTTTAATTTTAGATAGCAAAAAAAAAAACCCTCCAGACAAATATCCAGATCATGTCTTTGCTAGAGCATATTAACAACAGCAAACAAACTGCTTTTAAGGAGAGCCATGTTGTACAGGGTAAGAAGAAAATCTAGATGCCAGGCACAAAGGCACATGCCTGTAATTCCAGAAATCTAAAAGCTGAGACAGGAGGATCTTGGGTTTGAACTTACCATTAACAATTAAGCAAGACCCTACCTCAAAATAAAACCATTCCAAAAGGTCTAGGATTGTGGCTAAGTACAAGGCCCTGGGTTCAATCTCCAGTAAAAGCTAAAAGAGCCTCAGACCAGAATCAGTTCAGTGTGACCTTGAAGATAATTTCACAAGCTAAATGAAGGAGTTGGACTAGGCATGGTCTCAAAAATAACTGCTGGCTCTAATTTTCTGTGGTTTTGTGAACTCATCCTCCTTGCATTTTTAAACCAATCTTGTCAAAATCTTAAAACAGCCTAACTTTGAAATACAAGACATCTCTCTGCTTGTTGAAAGAATCCCTAATACTTTCAATGAAAGTACCATCCTAGTTATGAGCCCAGCTGACAGCCTACGGAGTGTGAAATATCAGAAATAATTGTCTCTGTTGTACCTCAAGCAATCTAAGGCTCTGAAAAGTGAAGTGACTTGCCTAAAATCACACAAGTTAGTGGCAGAGTGGGGATTAGAATTTATGGTTCCAATTCCCAGTCCAGTGTTCTTTCAACAGTATGAGTGAAAGCAACCTCTCTGTGATTTGGAATCTAACCTTTTCTCCTCCAGCACTCCTGCCCTTCTGTCCACAATGCAACCTGAAAGTTATATTGTATGCATTATCTCCACAGACAAAAAATTAGCAAACCCCACATTATATAAGTGTTATTGGTGAGAATAATCGGCATATGGAGATATGCATTTTGAGACAGAGTCTCACTGTGTAGCTCAGGCTGGCCTTGAGCATACTATGTAGCCCAGGCTGGCTCTGAATTCATGGTGGTCTTCCTGGTTCAGAGTCCAGTGTGTTGGTATTATGGGTGTGTGCCACCGCACTCTGCCTGAGCTGGTAGACTCTTAATGGGGCTTACTGGGAGATCCTTAGTCGCTGGGGGTCATGCTCTGGAAGGGGATATTAGGATGCAGACTGGCACCTCCTTGCCTGATGCCATGAGATAAGCAGTTTTCTTCTACCACATGGTCCCTACTGTGACATTCTGCCTCACCATAGGCCCAGAGTGATGGGATATCTGAATCTCCATATCTGAATATGGAAGAAAAGAACCTTTTGTTTTGATCTAATTGTCTGCTTACTGTATCCCCACTCCCATTCCTTTAACACTGGAATTATTTTTTTCCCCAGCCTCTGTTACATGCATAAACATGTGCTAAACCTGTGGGTGATCCCTGCCCTGAAGGAGTTTAAATTCACTCCTGGGAAGAAGAAAAGGAGAAAGCTTCAATACCCATACATGAGCAAGGTATAAATGAAAGCCAAGATCCAGGGATAAAGCTCAGTTGACAGTGCTCCCCTGACAAGCATGAGTTCGATTCCCAATACTAAAGAAAAAAAATTTAAAAATAAGAAAACCAAACAGATAAGAATGAATCTTGTTTGTACCCATGAGCTACATGGACAAAAGGTAGAAGAATTCAGGAGTAGTTCAACTCAAAGAAAAATCACCTGTTTGGAAAAAGTTCCGCGTAACTGGCACCCTAGGGAGATACTGGCAGCAAAGGAAAAGGAGCCTCCTGAGGTGATGGCAGTGCTCCTTGTCTGGACCTGGGTGGTGTTGTATGAGGGTACACATGTGGAAATGCTCAGAAAGCTGTGCAATTTAGGCTTGAACACTGAAATGGGTGGCAGTTATACTCCAATTTTAAAGAATACAAAGAGGAAACAGAGCTCGAACTATCAGGAGTAGCTATATAGAGGAATAGGCAGCATTTGAGGAGGGACATAAATTAACTTAGTAGTCATAAGCTCTTGCTGAGTTTATGAATCATCTGGGCAGCTTTTTAAAGCTATTGAGTTTTGGGTCCCACCTCAGACCAATATAATTTGAAACTGTGGAAGCATGACAAGATGGTGTGTTAGCCAGGTTTTCATCTCTCATGAAATAGATAGCTGAGAAAATCAACTTAAAAGCAGCAGAGGTTTATTTTGGCTCACAGTTTCAGAGGTTTCGGTCCATATTCCCTTGATCTCATCGCTCTGCTCTTCCCTCCTAGAGCCATAGTGCCAGTGGAACTTTCATGGCTGATAATGACAGGGGTGCCGCCATGTCATATTTGCATTGAACTGTTCAAAGATGCTTTCAATACATCAACCCCATGCAGTCTGACAAGCAACAGAATCAAGCTTCCCAGAATAAGAAAGTGGGTGCTGCACAGAGCTCATCCTGTGATCTCTAGGAGCAAAGGAAGAATTCTGATCCTCCCAGTTTAAGAAGAACCAAAGAGCATAATTAATATTTGTCCAAGGGGTAGGGTGAAGGGCTAAGGGGAGAATATTCCCAGTACTATACTGGCTTGGTCCTCAGTGTGGTAATGTAGGAGAACATGGAACTGTTAAGAGGTGGAGTCTAGTGAGAGGTCCTTGGACAGATGCCCTTGGAAGTACCTTAAGGTACTTTTTGAGTGAATTGGACTTAGTTCTAGAGAAAGCGGTTATTATACAAAGAGCAAGCCTGC